AGGTCATGATGGATGGAGGCCAGGGGGGCAGGTTTGACCAGTATGCCGAATATACGCCTCTATTCTTTTCGAAGGACATCTTGGAATTCTTAATTACTATAGAGAGTAAGGACGTCAGTGTAATGTTTCATCTGAAGGTGATCACTGAGAGTATAGTATCCCTGTCACTATACTGGGGCACTGGGACACACAGATCACAGAATGAGCACCCCTTGCTAACCTCACTAGTACCTTTTTCAGCAATAGTTTCCCATGCAGGTACCAGGATCAGCCTTGCTTAGCTTCAGTGGGTAACAGAATTTTCTTTTGATGTCCCACACACGCTAACTTCCCCGTCTCGTTTCCTTGGATGTATGTCAGTGATTACATCACACAAATGTCCACTACTGGTGGAATATCTGAATGGGTTTAAATGGTTTATTTTAAAGCTTTGAGCAATTGGGAACTGCGCTATTGTGACATCACTTTCACATTTCATTCTGGGACTTGTAAGTGTTGGAGTGAACATAATATGAAGACAACTCAATTCCTTGTCAAAATCGAAGGGTTGAGGGTATGTAGGCTTTCCTGGTTCACTTGATGAAGCCTGTTTTTCCTCAAGGTTTGTTTTTTTTCTTCACTTTCGTCAATTGGTGGAGTTTGTTGCTCGCCACTGTTGCCACTGGCTTGCTTGGTTTGGAACTTATGGAGCTGTGCATCAATGCATTTGCTCTTTATTGTTTTTAGTGTGACTTTTAGCACGAACATTTTAATAACACTGAACTAATAAAACTCTTAAAAACTGGACTGATGCAGTTTAAATTTACTGGAACATCACTGTTAGCTGCTTTGACACAAACTACGTTGTAAAAGCTCTATAAGATCCGAGGGGAAGTGCTAAGGGAAGTTTGCAAATATGTGTCTAAAAGTGGAATGGAACGCAGCCCATGTCAGAGCTGGATGCATCAAGCTCTTCTGCATCCATTGTGGACATTATTACCAGATCGTTAATTACTTGAAATGGATTAGCAAATCACCTAACTCAACTGGAACATTTAGCTCATGAACATTTAACATAGAAATATTGATATTTTATCCAAGTGAGTTATGTAAAGCCAGATGAAGTGGGCTATTAACTAAATGGCATAAGCCTTTAACATGGCAGGGGCATTGATGAGTATAATTTTAGCAAAAAATTTGTATTCTCTTGATTTTCCTGAATATCTTATACACTTTAAAGCAGTAACAAAAAAAATTTGCTGACATGGCCACATTTATACGTCTGAGAGGATGCTATGGATGCATTGCTAAGCTCTTCATTTAGACAACTTTAAAGGTAATTTTCTCAGTATTTTTGTTTTTGAACCCTCAGATTCCAGGTTTTCAAATAGTTGTTTGTTGGCCAAATATTGTCCTAGCAAACCATACTTGGATGGGAAGATTATTTATTTAAGTGATGCTAACCTCAGTTTTGACAATCTTGTGACTGGTTTAGCGGTCCAGGTTAACAAATGGTTCTATTTAATGATGAGTCATTGATTCTTTTTAACCAGACCTGACTTTTATTTAGAGTAAAATCTTTTCCCTTTTGTTTGAGGATGCATGTGTTTTGGGTCTCATATTCAGTGACAGAAGTAGACGCATATGGTATTGCTAGGGTTAATGATTAAATTATTAATTGATTGTTACAGTGATCGATTATGGGAATTTGTACAAATTTTCATCCCTAATTTGGCCACTCCATTATGGGAAAAAATTTATATATATGTACACGCACACACTCACAGGCCACTTTATTAGGTACATCTTACTAGCACTGGGTTGGACTCCCTTCTGCCTTCAGAACTTTTGATTCAACAAGGCACTGGAAATATTCCTCAGAGATTTTGGTCCATATTGACATAAAAGCATCAAACAGTTGTCGCTGATTTGTTGGCTGCACATCCATGATGTGAATCTCCCCTTCCACCACAACCCAAAGGTGCTCTATTGGATTGAGATCCGGTGACTGTGGAGGCCATTTGAGTCCAGTGACCTCATTGTTCAAGAAACCAGTCTGAGATGATTCAAGCTTTATGACATGGCTCGTTATCCTAGACATCAGAAGATGGGTACACTGTGGTCATAGTGGAATGTGCATACAACAATACTCAGGTAGGCTGTGCGGTTGACACAATGAGAAACTGGTACTAATGTGCCCAAAGTGTTCCAAGAAAAAAAACCCCACACCATTACACCATCACCATTCTGAATCATTCATAAAAGGCAGGATAGATCCATGCTTTCATATTGTTGACGCCAAATTGTGACCCTACCTTATGAATGATTTTTTTTTATTAATATTATTATTAGTGGGGTTTGCCTTAAGCTTAGACGCATACTATTACTATTTGTCTTTCTGTAAATGGTTGATATTACACCTATATATTTTTGAGATCATCAAACTTCACAGTTCTCAATACCATAGCAGAATGGGCAGCTAAAACAAAGTAAAAAAAGAACCGCTGAAAAAGGGATGAGATGTGATGTAATAATTGTTTTATCTTGATTACTTTTTTTGCATGATAATTGAAAGCCAAAATCTCAAAATTTCATTTTGATTTAACTACACAGCCCTACTAAATATATTTAAAAAATGAATTTCTGCTCCAAGCACACTTCTTTATTTACACATACATTATTTGATTTCTGTCAGGGCAGAGTGTCTGACCTGAGTGTCCTAAAAAATGTGTTGCATGGCTTGTTTGACTAATCGTGTTTTACAGGATAACATCTGTCCCTGCTATTAGGAAACAGCCCCCCGTAGGGTTCATGAGAGGGTCTCAATGCAATGGGAATTTTACCGTGTGACATTTAAAGGTCATTGTAAAGTGACTGGTTAGATGTCTTAAAGTTGCTGCATCTTAGTTTGAGTATAGTTGCGATCTTGGTTATTTTGCGATCTCTGCTATTATTTTTATACTATTGTAGTAATGGTTTTTAACCACAGCGGTTTGAACTGTAATTCTGCCGAGTGACTAGAAGTGATCCGAGTGATCAGGATGATGGTAAAAAACTGTACATTTCTAGTCAAGTCATTCTTCTGCAATCCTATACCAAAAACAGAAATAAGGGTAGTATTAATAGCTTAAAATGTGGAAGAGCGTTGATATTATGTAATTGTATTTTATTTCAATATGGAGCAATTAAGTGTTTATGTTAAATCAAAAGTAATTCACAAATACTTGAAAATAAGATGATTTAATGACAATAATTCTCTATGGTTACAACTGTATTAATTACAAAATAACTGTATAAAATATAAAATGATAAATCATATGATATTAATTGTACCCAGCTTAAATGTAAAATTAAAGTTACCAGAAGTAGAAGAGAGACACAGGGGGAGGGAGAGAGAGAGACAAAGAAAGTTGGCCCGGAAGTTAGCCTGATTCCATTAGAGTCAGAAAAGATAAACTCAAGGGAAGGAGAAGAGCAGAGCAGGTAAGCGCAGAGACAGAAAAGACAGGCCAGGAAAAGAGCCAGAGCAGAGTTTTACACTTATTTTGTATCTTTCTTGACCATGTGACTAAAGCCCAAATGCTGAGACATTCAAACTGACCAATCAACATGTGCCCACATTGAAAAAACCCCAAAGTCCACATACCAGGCTCTGATCTTATCAGTATGTGCCTTTGGAGTCAGCATGGACCCTCTTGAGTCAAAAAGACATGTTTTGTCATGTAAACAAATGCATATGATAGTTTAGCCTCTTACACTATTTGGAAATTTGGTATGTGTTAGGATTGTTGCATAAGAAATAATTGTGCCTCGTAAAGTCAGTGCATTCAATTGAAAGAATTTGCAATATATATATATATATATATATATATATATATATATATATATATATATATATATATATATATATATTAGGGGTGTGACGAGACGAGATTGAGATCATGAGAACGAGACAACATTTTTACACTATAAGAAATCTTCAAAGATGAAATATATGAATGGAAAATAGTCTTTTATTCAACTGAAAAAAAATCTGAAAATGCTAAATTATTTGGGCGCTTTTTTGAATCAACCTGTAATGTATGTTGTTTTACTTCTATTTTACTGAATTCTATGCAGTAAAGGACATGCAAACACTGCAAAATGTTTTGCTATAAACTCTACTGACTGGCTTCTCCTCTGTACAGTTTCACATTAGAACTCCTTTCTACAAATTGAACTTTTTAATGTGCGTTCAGTGATGATGTTTGTGACAACTGGTGTGTCTACAGGAGTTCACTGTGTGTGTGTGTGCGCACTCGAAGGCTATGTGTGTGTGTGTGTGTGTGTGTGTGTGTGTGTGTGTGTGTGTGTGTGTGTGTGTGTGTGTCTGTGGTCCTTTACTGACTCAATAGGTGCAGAGAATAGTGTTAAACAACCGTGTGTGTATGGACTATCCAGTCGCAAAATGCACACTCACACTCCCAAGCAAACACGTATCAGGCAACACAGGCAGCCAAGGTTGCCAGGTATGTGCAAAGCACTAGATGTGCGGTTCAAATCGAATCTTGCCTCCTATCTTTAGTGCTGAATTCACCCTCACGCTCCATAACATCACAACTCACAAGTCAACTTTTCACCTCGATGGGAAATAAAGTCACGATTTACTGTAGTCTCGCAAGATCTAGGCACATCCCTAATACATAAAAAAAAAATATATATATATATATATTTCTTGCCCTTTTCATCGGCCTGTTGTCAATTGTTCTTGATTTAAATATGCAATAATTAACATTCTCTATAAAGTTAAATTGGCAACTTTGAATGGAAAGGTAGCTCTTGATAGTCGAAAGGTCAGAAAGTCAGGATTTGCATCGTCTCTTGAGTCAGTAATAGGGAGTGAATGGGGCGGCAAAAATCTGAATGAGTGTTTCCTGTCAGTTCTCCATGGTGTGATTACCTGAGTGTGGGTCTTCATGCTGTGCGACTTGGCAAACAGATGTCTGTCTCGGTCTCATTTTTACTCTCTCTCTCCCTTTCAGGCTCTCTGGTGGGTGTGGGTGATGTCATCTCTCAGCAGTTGATTGAGCGCCGTGGACTGGCCAATCACAACGCGAGACGCACCGCCAAGATGATGAGCATTGGCTTCTTTTTTGTCGTAAGTCTCTTGTGATTCTGCTCCATTTGCATTTGTGTTCCTCATGAGATTCTCACACTTTGTTTGTTTTTGGACTGATGTAATTGAAAAATAATGCCAAGAGAGATACAAACAAAACATTGATGTGTGTCAGTGTATGAAAGTAAAATATAAGTTTAAAAAAACACATCTAAAAGGTCATTTATTACCTTTTTATACTCAATTTGTTTTACATTTTATTTTACATTTTGCTGGCCACCGATATATAGTTATAGTCTCATGTGAACCATCAACCGTATTATGAATATCTGGCATATAGGATTTCTAGAAAAGCTTTATTACATAATATTCAAAGCTATATTTTTTTAATTAAACACAGTACAATAGTATTGTTGGAAAAAGTAAATTAATGAGAACCGAGTACAGGAGACTCAAACAAGCAGAATTTCTTTATTGAGATGTTTGGGTTAGTCTGCAGTCAAACAAGTCTGAAGCAAGTCTAAATCAAGTCTCTTTTTAGAGAAAGATGTCCTGTCTAAAATAGGTTTTTAGGAGGAGCAGAGTGGCTAGGTGGAGGTGTAGAAAACGAGCATAACTAAATCTTATTTTATTTCATGGATGTCCAAACTCGGTCCTGGAGAGCTGGTGTCCTGCAGATTTAAGCTTCAACTTGCCTCAACACACCTGCATGAATGTTTCTAGAAAGCCTAGTAGGAGCTTGATTAGCTAGTCCAGGTGTGTCTGATTGGGGTTGGAACTAAACTTTGCAGGACACCGGCCCTCCTGTTTTAATGCAAGGTCTTTTTTATCAGAAAACAAGGCTTCAGGTATAATTATACACCATAATGGGAATAAATGGCTACTTATTTTTCTTTAAAACATTTGTTTCATAGTATAAAATAGCACACACAGACACACACACTGAACTGAACAATTGTTAAAAAGTTAAATAAACTTAAATATGCAAGTTTTGGGAGACTCCGTTACTCAATTAAGTTGAGGCAACAAGTTTACTCAATTAATTTTGTTCAGTCAACTTATTAGGGTTTTCAGTGTGAGAAAGCAGGCAAAGAGCTACAGGCATGTCAGAACAGAGCTCATTAATATTCATTACCTTTCCAAATATGGTCAAAATGGACCTTCTGATTCTAGGGGTAATAGGGTATGCCGAGCTAGTGTTGTTACAATGCTGATAAACTTCCGGTGACCTGTAATTGTAAGTTTTGTTCCATTTTATATGGTTCCTTTTACAGCATCAATGTTGTAATGTAATTAAAATACATTCAGTAAAACAGACTCTGGCATTCATTTATTTGCTCAAGGATAAAACGAGACAAAATACCGTTTACTCGCACACGCCTGTCAGAATTGGCGGGCTAGCGCAGAAGCTCCATTGAATATACTGGATTAAAATAAATGCTCATATTTTAAAGACAAGGCGGGGTGGAAATGTAATTTAATGCGGTGCTTCTTGTACAATCTGAGACGCACTTTATATCGGACATCACTCAGCCAGTGGAGATCGCTAATTTTTAAAGAAAACAGACCTTAAACGCACCGTTTTTGCCATGGCAAACAGTTCACCGAAAGCACTTAACCTAGGTTACTGGCAAATTAGAAGTCCTATAAGCATGCTTCGGCATATACCCCATTCCTCTGTTAATAAGTGAGCAAATAAAACTATTCCTAGAAATTTATTTTTTAACTTGCCTAAGCCACATACCTACTCTGTAGATACTGTATCAGAGAACAATTTAACTTATTGAATCAATGCGCTATATGGCACCTTTAAATTCTCGCGATCTGAAGAGTAACACAAACGCAACTGTTTACAGGTCTGCAGATCATGTGTAGAGGTGTTGTGTTTGTAAAAAGATAATGAAGTTGCACAGCTGCAGATAGTGATTGACATATTGAGCTCTTCTCTACCTCTCGCTCACGCACACACACAGCACTAATGCACTAGTTCTATCCAAATGACTTGAGGTCTAATCTGCAAATGGCCTGTATGATTCAAAGCTTTTACAAGCCTGAGCACACTCGCTTCAGCCTTTAAACATCAGTCCTCGGTCGTTATTATTAGAGCAGTAAAATCTGTTTCACTGCTGTTAGAACAAAAGACTGAACCACAGGTCAGAACTTCAGCTAATGTTTGTCCTGCTACTCCTGAAATTATTTTCTGTGCATTGAACAGCAGTTATTTTTACTTTCCGACGTGCTTGTATTCTGTACATTTAGGGTTTCAGACTGGATTCTTACTGCTAGTTAGACAGAAGCTCAATATTAATCATTTTATGTGTCATTTGACATCTTTGTTTTGTTAAAAGGACAGAGAAGAATGAACAAAGCTGCCGTATATCAACTGTGCATTGACAAATGACAAACGGGTTTTCAAAGCAGCGCACAGCTGTTTATTAAAGACGCCCATATGCATAATTTGACATTGGTGGGTGATTTTGCACGGATGCTGCTGAACCGCAAATTATATTTGCATTAAAAGAGGGATTTGCAGAAGATTTCAGCTGTCTTTGTTGACTGAAACAGTCGCGGGAGACACTTTTTGACACATTTATTGATCAGTTTGTTAATCAGAGCCAGACTGAAGCCACACTGGGAAAAAGAAAAGAAAGCTCATTAATTCACAGAGGATTGGAGCTAATTACAGCCTCTGTTTTCATAATCGCGTCATAAACAAATGACACCACTGGCACGACTTCAATGTTCTGGGCTTGTGTTCGTGATTGTTTATTGAAGTGTTTGGGGGTTTTTATGTCTGATATGGCTTTTAATGAGGGTTTTTTGTGTTTTTTTTCAAGGGTCCAGTGGTCGGTGGATGGTACAAGGTGCTGGACAAACTTGTTACAGGCGGTACTAAAAGTGCAGCTCTGAAGAAAATGCTTGTTGACCAGGTGGGCCACAAACAGATCACAAATTGATTTTTATTTTATTTGATTAATAATATAAGTAATATGGTAATTATAATCCAACATATTTTGTAACTGCAATTTTCTTCCTCTGTCTATTAATTAGTACAGCTCCCATAACAACAATTGCAATTAAAATAAATAACTAATAATATAACATTTTTAAAAATGCCTCTGCATTCCATAACATTGTTGCTTTCTTTGCTAAAATATCAATTTATTATTATATTTAAATTATGTTAGTTAGGTAGTTAGTTACCTTTATTTGTTCCCTTGGGGTAACTTCATTTGCAGCATACACTCACAAAGACATCTGACATTTCACATTTGGCATTTATATAATTAAAATAAGTCATTTAAAAACCTAAAGTACCATGGTACCCCTACTCTAAATAAATATCCAGTGGTCAACTGCAACTGAGAGAGGATGAATTTAAAAACTTAGTTGCTTGAGGTATAAATGATAATTTCGTTTTATTTCTAAAACTTCGGCGAGGCAGTGGCGCAGTAGGTAGTGCTGTCGCCTCACAGCAAGAAGGTCGCTGGGTCGCTGGTTAGAACCTCGGCTCAGTTGGCGTTTCTGTGGGGAGTTTGCATGTTCTCCATGCCTTCGCGTGGGTTTCCTCCAGGTTCTCCGGTTTCCCCCACAGTCCAAAGACATGTGGTACAGGTGAAATGGGTTGGCTAAATTGTTCGTAGTGTATGAGTGTGTGTGTATGTGTGTGTGGATGTTTCCCAGAGATGGGTTGCGGCTGGAAGGGCATCCGCTGCGTAAAACCTTGCTGGATAAGTTGGTGGTTCATTCCGCTGTGGTGACCCCGGAATAATAAAGGGACTAAGCCGACAAGAAAATGAATGAATGAATGAATTTCTTAAACTTCTGGGAACACAATATCCACGACCTGATGGTAACAATTTGAAGGTAATAAACATGTATGGCATTGTATATTATTGATGATAATGATTATTAAACAGTATGGCAACCTTTTGTGGATTTCCTCAAATCTGATTAGTGTTCATTATTGTGGATGCTTTCATTGTAACAACTGAACATTCTCTGATAATCGAACTCATTCATTCATTGATTCATTTTCTTTTCGGCTTAGTCCCTTTATTAATCAGGGGTCGCCACAGCAGAATGAACCGCCAACTTATCTAGTTTATGTTTTACGCCATGGATGCCCTTCCAGCTACAACCCATCACTGGGAAATTAATTTGTTTATTATTGTAATATTATAATATTTAATAGCTTATTTATATGTCATAAAGTATATATTTTTCAGAATGTAGTACACTATTTATATTAATAAGTAAGGAATGATGTACATCTAGCTAAATAAAAGCCACACACAAAATGTGCTGTATCAATAATTTGCAGTACCCAGATGAGCCTGTGTTATAAGTTTCACAGATTTTATGACTGACCAATCAGATTCAAGTCATCCAGAGAAACGTATAATAATATTAATATTGATTAACTCATTAATTTTCCTTCGACTTAGTCCCTTTATTCATCTGGGGCCGTCCCAGCGCAATGAACCACCAATGTATCCAGTATGTGTTTTACACAGTGGATGCCGTTCCAGATGCAGCCCAGTACTGGGAAATACCCATACACTCTCATTATAATCGATACACTACTGATAATTTAGTTTATCCAATTCACCTATAGCGCATGTCTTTGGACTGTAGGGGAAAAACCAGAGCACCCGGAGGAAACCCACACAAACACTGGGAGAACATGCAAACTCCACACAGAAAGTGACCTTCTTGCTGTGAGGCGACAGTGCTAACCACTGAGCCATCGTGTCGCCCAATAATTATAACATATAAATCAAATGCAAATTTTATTGGTCACATACACAGCCATACATAGTATGATATGCAGTGAAATGCTTACGCAAACACTTGTCTGGTTGACGGTCACGAGAAAAACGAAAAGGGGGGGGGTGTTCGAGTTGATGGTCATGAGAAAAACTAAAAGTGGGGGGGGAACAAAAAGATCTCATCAAGTGAAGGGCAGAGGGGAGGGGGGTGTTAAGGTGTTGCGGGCTGGAGGGAGGAGGGGGGTGGGCCGGCAGCTTGATAGCCCTGCTATAGGTGGTTTTTTAAGTCCACTCATCTGTATGGAGTACACTAGAACTATAAAGCACATGCACCAATACATTGTTCATTTACATCAATGAAAAATCTGGCTTTGCGTCTTTCCCTCACACTCTCCTCGCTCTTTTCCCCATCATTTACTACCCTTTAATGCTCCCAAATTACACGAAAGACCAAGAATAAACTCAAGATTTTTCCTAACTGCAGTACAAGACATCTTGGTTCCAACTAGAGCTAGTGAAAGTTCAGGTTGGAACAGATTGTAAAGTCTTTACTGGAGTATGCAGACGCATGTAAAGTGCTTAAGAGCTGTTATTTATTGCTGTTGCTGTGTGCTTGATCCCTTTTGGGTTTTCCAGCCCAGCTCTCCCTTCATGCATGTCAAGTAATCCATCCCTTGATAGGCAGTCAAAAAAATGAGTGTTTGCATAAGTCATTGTTTACATGATCGCTGGAATGAATCTACAGGATGAAGCGGACAAAAGCACGCAAGACAGGCCCTTTCCCCATCTGCGGATTACACCCAAACAACAGCCTACCTCATTTATCCACAAAACAGATTCTACTGCTATTTTTAGAGACCCATTTTCTACATTTCTGAAAGCTTATAAGGCGGCAAGAAGTTGTGTGTGTGTTTGCGTACGTTTTTGTGGATATTGTTGAGGGACTTAATCGGCTGTGTAAATCTTAAGAGGTCCTCTGGTATTACTTAGACATTTCAATTAGTTCTTGAGGCTAGATTGAGTCATAAAAATTTAACAAAATAAGAGTCCCACAGTCTAGAGCTGCAAAATATATGGTTTCAGCATCGATATCTGGCGAATAGTCACATCACACGCAATTTCAAGTGAATTTAAACCATTTGGGCACCAGAAATTGTAAAGTTTGCCACTTTAACAAAGAATAATTGTGTTTAATTATTTATACAATGAAGACTATAGAGTGTTATTTTACATTTGATTATTGAATTACTGTGAATTACGACTCAACCGAAAACCATAAAGCAATTTTTATTACATTTTTTCTTTGTTCTATTGTTTTTATCTGTGCTTTAATATTGGTTTTAAAATCATCCCTATGTGAAACTGTAAACTCTTTTTAAATAGAGACATCTTGGGAAGTTATATTCATATCACAATATTTAATAATTGTAATTGGTGGATATTCAGTCAACGTAAAATTGTAAAAACGATTAAGATAACTTAATTGGTTTTCTCTGGGATAACATGAAGGTATTATGTGTGACCCAGCATTTTGTACAGTGTACAGCAGTAGTAGGGAACCTATGGCTTGCAAGCCACAAAAATACTTGTCTTTCCTTCAATAATATTTTACGGTTTAAAAAAATGTAACCATCACTAGATGTCAATTTTCTATTGAAAATACAATTTAAATTCCTTACTATTGTAATTATTTATAGCAAAATGAATAAGAACTCAATTAACAATAAACGGATGTTTCAATCAATGCGTGCGTAAAGATCTGTTGAATCACAACACCTATAAAGTGTAAATGCAAACAACATTCATGAGTGGTGATGATGAAAAGAAAAAAATCTTTATGTTGTCCTTTCTTCATTCATGGACGTGCTTAAAATGTGAGGCTCCATATTGTTTGTTTTGTGCATGAACATAAATAAAAACCTGTATTATTTATTGTGTGTGTGTTCGAGCGTGCGTGCGTGCGTGTGTGCGTGTGTGTGTGTGTGCGCACACGCGCGTGTAAATTTACCAAAAATTATAATACCACATGAAAATTCTGTTTTTTACTGGATTTATTTGATATGAGTTTGAGTAAAATGCTACTATTTGTTTTATTTTACAAGGGTATGAAGGCATTTATTACAAATTATTCAATTGAGCAGTTTTATTTTGCATTTTCTTTTTGCAATTTTTTTATCTCCAAAAATACTCTAAATTACAATTTTTAATTCCATTGAGAATAAATATTATTGGTAGTTTAAACAAATTATACTTATAACTCTGGATTTACAGATAATAGTAAGTCCTAAGAATTTTTTTTTCCATTTCATGCATTTTTTTCATTGCTGTAGGTTTTTCCTTTCTATCTTCCATTAACTCTGTTTAATATTATGCCTTTCAAAAAGAAATGGATCTTGTACTTTAAAAAAAAACATAAAAACTTGTGGACATTGTACCCAAAATTCTGGTTTTACTCTGTGCTTAACTCATTTTTGATGATTTCTGTGACATGGGATGTCCTTTGGAAAACCACACTGAAAGGATTCCAGTAATCTAGCATGCTAATAATAAATCATCGTATCATTCTTTCATTGTCTCCATAATAGCTTTCAACATGTGTCTTGCATTTTCTATTAGACATAAAAAAAGTGTCTGTCAGTAGTCTATAAATTAACAATTGCGCTGGATTAGGTGTATAATGGCATGTATTATGAACACTGAACTTGAATAATCATGTAAGGTTATATATCACCTAAAAAGTAATGAGAAGGTTTTCAACTTTGATATTTTCTGCCGTTTATATCTCCACAGGTGGGCTTTGCTCCGTGTTTCTTGGGTGCTTTTCTGGGAATAACTGGAACCCTCAATGGTCTGACTGTGGAGGAAAACGTTGCCAAACTTCAGAGGGTAATCTATCACACGCCTGAATTAAATACACAGACTGTGATGGCACAAATGTACTTCTATTTACATCAGGAATTACACTGTTAGCCTAATTAATGTACCTTAACCCACCCTTCAATTTTAATCTAACCACTAAATACAACACGGGTTCATTCTAAAAATGTGTCCCTAAATACGTTTCTGGAGATTGCAAATTATGTAGTTAGAAGTACGTATGGCTGCATTTCATTTTTAAAATGAACTCTGCGGGATGGTATGACGCTCTTCCTTTTTGCGCATACCTCCATGAGGATGGCTTTCGAACAGTTACCAGTTCGTCCAGTTACCTCGCCATGTACGTCAGCGGACTTGAGATGTAGAGTGGAGCTAACCACGACAACGTGGCTTAAGTCTGCGAAGAATGGCTCCAGAAGCGGGTAAGACAAAAATAGAAGCCAAAAAATAAAGTAAACAAGTAAATAACTGGGTGAGAATGAGGTAAAATCTGAAAACGAGGTAAAATTCAGGCAAGAGCTTTTCTTTTTCTGGATTGCTTTTTAAAACTGTCGGTTGGGTTAAAGGAAGTGTGTGGGCAGGTCAAGCGGTGCCTTTGAAATCACTATTGGTTGGGTTTATGGAAGGAGTAGGGTGGGTCAGTCGGTCAGTCAGTCGACAGCGGCCTCTGGTGGATTTATGCGAAAAGTAGAAGCTGCAAAAAACGTAGCTCTTTGGATATATTTGACACTCTTTAGAAATGTATATAGTGGTACGTTTTCAGAATGTGTCTGGGTTGATTAAATATGTCTTTAACCATACCAATATCCCAGCAAAAATGTTTTCCATTATAACATGAACACATTAAATACATTGTACTTAAAATTTTGGATAAATACATAGTATCTACAGGGATAGTTTACATAAAAATAATAACCCCCTGGCCATGCAAGATGTTTTGGATTTTTTTTTCTTCAGTAAAACATTAAAGGATAGTTCCCCCAAAAATGAACATTGTGTCAGTGTTGACACACCCTCAGCTTGTGTAAACCTGTTTGAATTTCTTTCTTCTGATGAACACAAAAAGAAGATATTATGAAGAATGTCTGAAACCGGTCGGTAGCCATTGACTTCCAAAGTATTTTTTTTCCTACTATAGAAGTCAATGGCTACCGGTTCCCAACATTCTTCAGAATCTCTTTTTTGTTTTTTGTTTTTTTGCTTCAACAGAAAAAAGAATCATGAAAGTGAGAAAATAGTAAGGAAAACTATCACTTTAAAGACATTTTTCTTGCCTGAAACTGTAAATTGGTGATGCAAGTCAATGGCTACCCACACTTTCAAAACATTAATAGGAAACATATAGTATCTGTGGGTCATGATAATACATTGAGCTCTTATGAATCTATACAATTGGTCTATTTAGGAAACTAAACATTATTTACAACATTATTACCTTTAATACATTGCTCCGGCAAATAAACCGTTTCCAACCAAAAAGTATTAAACCGTCACTTACTAATAAATTGATGACAAATGTCAAAAAGAAAAATTGAATTTGCTGCATTAGAAGGAGCCACTGTGGGCCTGTTTTCTTAATAAATTGTAATAAATTATTCCTAATAAATGGGCTATATGCACAGCTGGTATTTTTCAGCCAATGCTAAACCTCCAGTAAAATTCTTATTCAGACAGACTGTGGCGTTGACATAATTGTCAATTGGTACTAATGGGCTCAAAGTGTGCCAAGAAAATATCCCTCACACCATTACACCACCACCACCAGCTTATTAATACAAGTTAATACAAGGCAGAATGGATCCATGCTTTCAGGATTTTGATGCCAAATTCTGATCCTACCATCTGAAAGTTGCAGCAGAAATCGAGACTCAGCCGACTATGCAACATTATTTAATCTTCTTTGGTCTAATTTTGGTGAGCCTATGCGAATTATAGCCTCCGTTTCCTGTTCTTAGCTGACAGGAATTACACCCGGTGTTGTCTTCTGCTGCTGTAGCTCATCCGCCTCAAAGTTTGATGTGTTGTGCTTTTTGAGATGCTTTTCTGCATACCTCGATTGTAACGAGTGGTTATTTGAGTTACTGTTGCCTTTCTATCAGCTCGAACCAGTCTGGCCATTCTCCTCTGACCTCTGGCATAAACAAGGCATTTGCGCCCACAGAACTGCCGCTCTCTCCGTAAACCCTAGAGATGGTTGTGCGCGAAAATCCCAGTAGATCAGCAGTTTCTGAAATACTCAGACTAGCCCCTCTGGCACCAACAACCATGCCATGTTCAAAGTCGCTTAAATCACCTTTCTTCCTCATTCTGATGTTCGGTTTTGAACTGCAGCAAATCATCTTAACCAGGTATACTTGCCTAAATGCATTGAGTTGCTGCCATGTGATTGGCTGATTAGAAATTTGCATTAACAAGCAGTTAGACAGGTATACCTAATAAAGTGGCCAGTGAGTGTAAATATTACCACATTCACAAACTCTCACATTTAGATGGCAAGCTCTCAAGGTTTGCTACTGATTTACTTTCATATCTCACGACCACTGTACCTATATTCAAAAATCTCTTCCAAAAACCTGAAAGCCCGGTTTCTCACACCTGCTCTCTGTCCTGTGACCCTCATATTGGAACAGTGTAATTATGGAGAGTTTCCGCTGGTTGGAGGATGAAGGGATGAAGAGAGAGCAGTGACTCATGGGCTCGTAGGAGCAACGCTTGACGCAGCATTGTCTCTGAGTGAGGACCATCAATTATTTATGTGGCGAAGGTGGCGGAGTTAAAATGAGACTCAAAGGTCAGTCACCTAAATGTCAGAAAGGACAGAAAGCTAATGATAAATGCGCTCATTAACCCAAACAGCCTGTGCAAACACAATGCTAGCTGAAAGCCAATCACTTAAAAGACTGCGTGAAAGAATATCACTCTGATCCATTCAAACATGTCTGCTGGCTGTTGGTTATTTAAAGGACTGGTTTGGGTTTAATCAGGACGACTGATGGTTATTTAAACTTGTGTGCATGGTGTTGCGTGTTTAATGACTGTATAGGTTTTTAAGAGTGAGAGAGAGCTGTAGTGGCCTTTAAGGCAGAAGTAATCGGCTGGACTGGCAGCTCGATGACACTCATTAGGCGCTGGTTTAGTGGTTAAGGCTGGGCTGGTGTAATGGAAAGGTCATGGGTTTGATCTCAGGTCGGGATTGAGCTGTGAATTGGACAGTGGATGTTCTGATCGTGTCTGAGGCTTTTAAACCAGAGCGAGTCTCCAGGGAAACTGAATGATCTGATGGTGACTGCACTTACCTAAAGACTTTTATTCTTCTGTTTTTTTGTAATACTTTAAAAAATTTCTCAATTTATGAGAAGATTTATTCCATTTATATATGATTGCCTTTATTTTTCATTCTTTTGTTCTTCTTATTTGTTCTTGTTTAATGTCATTTTAAACTGTAATTACAGGTAAATTAGTTTATATACAGTGGGGAAATAAATATTGAACACGTCATGTTTTTTTCCTGATAATAATAATATTAAACTAGCTGTTGACATGGAATTAACCATGATTTTGGTAAAAACCCAAACAATACTAACATCAAAATAAAACAAAAGAAAAAACAGAGGGTTGCTGAAGAACTACTGAGGGATTTCAGCTGCTGCCTGACTTTCACTGTCTTTCCACACCTCCCTTTCTTCAGTTTAATACTTTTTCTCTGCGTCTTTTAATTTTATTATGCATAATTCATTTGTAAACTAATTAGATTTGTTTTCTTTGCATATATGGATTTCTTTGGTTGTTACCAACATCCGATGCAATTTTCAAGTCAAAAGCACCTTGAGAAATGAGTTTTCTGACGAAAATGGTGACGTGTTCAGTACTTATTTCCCCCAGTTCCCCTAAGTCAAACTATTCCTTTAATTTTTAAAATTGTTTAGGTTTATTTGACAGGAAAATACACATTAATAATACAGAAATGTGCAATGTTTCAGAATTAGCCAAAAGACTATTTTGTATCTGTAGTTCCCAGACTGAATTTAAAATATTCTACCTTAAAAATATAAAGCAATAATCAATACGTAATAAATATAAGTTTCAAATACATATGAAACCTACTACATTTCTAAAGAAAATTCACCAAGAAATGGTATTATATCTATAATTATACTTTAAAACAGCGAGGCAGTGGTGCAGTAGGTAGTGCTGTCGATTCACAGCAAGAAGGTCGCTGGTTCGAACCTTGACTCAGTTGGCGTTTCTGTGTGCAGTTTGCATGTTCTCCCTGCATTCGCGTGGGTTTCCTCTGGGTACACCGGTTTCTCCCACAGTCCAAAGACATGCGGTACAGGTGAATTGGGTAGGCTAAATTATCCGTAGTGTATGAGTGTGTGTGTGAATGTGTGTGTGGATGTTTCCCAGAGATGGGTTGCAGCTGGAAGGGCATCCGCTGCGTAAAAACTTGCTGGATAAGTTGGCGGTTCGTTCCGCTGTGGTGACCCCGGATTAATAAAGGGACTAAGCCGACAAGAAAATGAATGAATGAATGAATGAATGAATACTTTAAAACCTAACAAAACACTATCACACTTAACTCATCCACAAATATTAATATGCAGGAAAAGACAATATAAGGACAGGACACAGAGAAGTAACAGTAGCAGACTAAAATATATACACAATACATATTTGGGGCATTTTCTGTTTACATTTTTAAGTTTAACCAAATAACTATACAAGTAACTTCACTTTACTTTAGATTTAGCCAACACCAAGTAAAACATCAAGTAAAAAATAAAGTAATTTAAGTTAGAGTTAAGTTAAAGTTTAAAATAGTTCACCCCCCAAAAAAGATCTGTCATCATTTACTCACCCTCCTCTTGTTCCAATCCTTTATGAGTTTCTTCTTTCTGTTGAACACAAACGAAGAAGGTTTGTAAACACTGGTAAGCATTGACTTCTGTAGAAATGAGTCTGTCCTACTGTGGATGTCAATAGTTACCAGTTTTCAACATTCCTTAAAA